AGATTGTCAATGGCTGAACGGACTTTGTTATGGAGGCTGTTGGTTGATAAGTGAGTGATGACGAATGGAGCAGTGTTTATGTGGCACAGTGTAGCCGGGGTAGGCCTGGGAGGAGGTGTCAGGATGGATTAGACTGAGGCCGGGACAGGCGTTCTGGACGCATGTGAAGCGCTGGCGGTCCACAGAGGGGCGGACAGAACAGGCAGCAAGGTAAAGGGGGAAGAATTTGTTAAACTTTTTTTAGTGTATTTGGGGAGGGCAGGTATAGTGAAAGTGTTTGCTGATTTTAATTTATGCCTTTTGTCCCTCTTTGGCATTGTTTCAAAGTACACAGAAAGTTCTCATCACAAGATTTAAAAAATTTGTAAACATGTATGGTGATAGATGTTAACTAGACTGAGAGTGATCATTTTTCAGTAAATGCAAATATTGAATCATTATATTGTACACCCAAAACTAATTTAATTTTATGTCAGTTATACCTCAATAAAAAAAATAAAATAGAAATAAATAAGGCAGTTCCTTCTTCAAGGAACTTACCTAACACTATTAGGAAAAAAGATAAAAATAAAAATTTCACGTCATGTGCTAAGTGTAATTATAGAAGTATGTACAGAGTTTAGCAGTGGGATAATTGTGATTAAAACAATTAGGTAGTTCAAAGAAAATTTTATCAATGATGTAATACTGAATGAACACTTGTAAATTCTTGGAAAAAGAGGAATTACACACAACTTTCGCTTACTGAGTGATCAGGCAGTGAGAGCAGAAGATGCCGTTTGCATGGCCGTGAGCGCTGGCCGGGAACCGCCCGTGGAGACGGTGGCGCTGCTGGGCGGTGTCCTTGCGGCACACAGCTTTCTCTCCGTCAGGCCTGGGTCATAACTTGCTCTTACTAGTTCTGGGGCCTGAATTGTTCCGTCTAGTTCTCCTACCTTGCCATCCTTTCTTTTTTTTCCACTAGTCCCTTAATTAAACCTTCCTCATATTATCCTACCTGAAACCTGATGGGTATAATGTGTAATTACATATTGAAAGAAGGCAAAATGCACAATAAAAGTAAGGGAAAACGTCCTTGGATTCAAATTACAAACAATATCACAAATGAAAAGAACAATGAGTAATACAAGTAGAACACATAAGGGCATGATTATAATGAGATAATTTACTTTAGCATTCCTGGTCAGGGTCATATTATATTGAGAAAAATAAAGACATTGAGGATTGGACTGTTGTATAAGTTGAATAAATATATATGTATATAATTTCAAGTTTATATATTGATATCTAATTGGGAAAAAAGTAGACAGCACCTTATACTGAAATGAAATGGGAATTGAATGTATGTATTCATTCCTTTGTTTAATCGTTCTTTCGTGGTACCTGCTAGAGGGCTGCTCCTCTGTGGTCCTATTGGACTTGGATTGAGCTCCACTAGTAGTATCACAAGGTATATAGTAAGCATTATGGGTTTTCATTAATAGGACACAAAAGCACTACTGGAAGGGAGAACTATTCTTGTTAGATTGCTTCATGGATATAGTTTTAAGCTTTGTTTTAACATTGCAACTGTATTCTTAATGTGGAGCTTGTAGTGGCCTACCCAGCCTCCTGGGTCTTTGAACTCAGTATGTGATTTTTCAGGAAGCAAAGGCACTTGTTCTGAATGCTGACAAACCTTTCTAGCTTTACAGCTGAGCTGGCATTTCTGCCTGTCTTTGCTTTTATGGGAAAGGTAGACAATATTTTGGTTAGGATGAAGTTTCAGAACCTGTCTCTATGATCTAGATCAGCACTTCTCCAAATGAGATATAATGTGAGCCCCCTCTGTAATCTGAAATTTTCCATTATCTGCTTAAAAAAAAGAAATGGATGAAATTAATTTGAACAATGGTTTATTTAACTCATTATATCCAAAATATTATTTCAACATATAAACAATCTTTTAAAATTATTAATGAGATACTTTGCTTTTTTTAAGTGCAAAGTCTCCAAAATCAGCTTGTGGTTTATACTTTTAGCAGTCAGCCCAGATGCAGAATGTTCACTGGAGATATTTGATGCATATTTCAATTTCATAAAACTTATAGTTGCAAAGTAGATTCACCACCCAGAAAGTTCCAAACTGACTTAAATGTTTCCCAAGTATTAGTTCATAAATTTAAATTAATTATAATTAAATAAAATTAAAAATTCAGTTCCTCTATTGCATTAGTCACCTAAGTGTTCATACCTCCCTGTTGCTCCTAGTGGCTTCCATATCAAACAGCACAGCTATAGATTATTTTTAATACCATACTCAAGTGCTTTTCTGTTTTCTGGGGTTATTAATGAATTAGAACTACTACATGCCACAAAGTCCTTGGAAACAGTTTTACTAAATCAGATTTATTCATTCAGGATACCAGTGCCTAGGGAAACAGAGGTCTGCATACTTGTACTTCATTCCCAGGGCCAGGAGCACCTTGTAGATAGTAGGGATTTAATAAGTGTTTATCTAGCTAAACCCTATTTTGTCCTCAAGTTTACTTAAATTTTACTTTCTCAGGGCCTTTTCTTAGCTTTCTTTTACTTCATTGGCCTTCATTTCTTTTTAAATACCTATTACCTAACATCTCTCTCTGCTAATAATTGAAGGTGCACTGAAGCCAAAAACTAGAAGAAAGGAAAATTGAATTGTGAAATACTTTTAAGGGGCTGAGAAAGGCATAGGGCAAAAGCAAAGGCAATAGAGGGAGCATCTCTTGCTGTTTCAGGACAGTTAAAAATAAACCCAGCCTTTTAATTATAAAAGAGTAATGAGCCTTACCCACGATATGTGAAAATATGATTAAAAAATATGATTGTGAGTCAGTAAACCAAGGTTGTCAGGTTATTATGTGAATCATAAAGATAGAGGTAATACCCGTTGAAGGTTACTACCACTAGTTTGGAATGGTTAGCTTCGAATTTAGTGTTTCCAAATGCAGCGATGGGCAAAAGTAGGTTTACAGGTGTATTGCAAATAAATAATACGATGATCAATAAATAATAATACAAAAATATAAACTCTGTTTTGCATACTCACAACTGTAAGCCTACTTTGCCAACCCCTGTATGAAGTTTCTCCATTTGAATAATGCTCTTTTAAACCTCTAGCATTTACTTTTTCTTTCAACATTTCTGGGAAGTGAAATAAACATACAGAAATGTGGGCATGAGGGTGCAGCTTGGTGAATTTTCACATGCACATCAAGAAACAGCACAGGAGCATCACCACATCCCGGAGGCTGCTCTCCTGCATCTTCAGCCTTCTTGCCCTCCGGGATAAACCATTATCCTGACATAGATAAGTTTTTCCTGTTTGTGTAGTTGATATAAATGGAATCACTGCAGTATCCGCATTTGAATTAATAAAACAGATTACCATTCTAAGTGACATTTCTGATAGCAACTCATTGAAAACAAAGTATGTTTTCAGTTTTCCTTATGAATCTAATTTAGTAAACTGGCAGTTTACCACTGTTTTTACCGTATTTTGCTGTGTATAATGTGCACTTTTTTTGCCTAAGGTTTGGAGAGAAAAATAAGGATGAGCATCACACATGGGTAGTACCTAAAATACCTTGTGTCCGTTCTTGTGTTTTGGAATTATTTGTTTAATGAAATTTTTGTACCATAATATGTTCAAAAATAAGTGCTAAAATTCTTTTATAATACAGAAAACAAGTATCTAAATATAAATGAATTGAAAAAAAATTGAATTAAAAAGTTAAGAAAAAGTTAAAATGGAAGGATTTTTCCTGAAAATTTGGGCCAAAAATGTGAATGTGCATTATTACAAGGGAGTGCATTATACACAGCAAAATACAGCAGTTCTTTAACACTCCTTTAAGAAGTGGTCCATGTAAATGCAAGAGTGTGTGCGTGTGTGCTTTTAAAGATTTTACCCAAATTCTGTCAGGCTGTGCTGTGCATGTCACTCACCTCTCTGTGATGGGTCTTAAAGCCTTTCCATATCAGCTCACATAGATCTGCTCCTCTGTCCCTGCTGGCGGCACAGGGCTCTGTTACACAGAGGAATCCTAATTTAATGAGCCCGCTGAAGAACGGGTAGGTTGTTCCTGATCTTTTGCTTTTAGAACAATACAGTCTGGGTGAGTTTATCTATAAAATAAATTCTTAGAAATGAAATTGCCTAGCAATGGGTCGTGCGTTTTTACCTTGGTCTGATGTTTCTACATGGCCCTTTCAAGAGTTCTGCCACGTTTCACTCCCACCAGTAAGGTTGAGTAACTCTTATTTCCTGTGCCCTCACCTTAGGTGATGTGTTATTAAGCCTCTTAATCTTTGCAGTCCGATATAGGAAAACCAGTAAGTCATTATTTAATTTCACATTTTCTTTAGTTTTAAATTTGGTTAGTTGTGTATGCATTTATTGGACATTCGTGTTTCTCTTGGGACTTGTCCATGTCCTTTACCCATTTTCCTATAGGCTTATGCATACTTTTCTTAATAATGTCAGGGAGTGCTTTCCATGCAAAAGAAATTAGCTCTTTTGTGTCATTTTCATGGTTTTTTTTTCCTATTTGTTTTTTGTCTTTTCTGTGTTTACAGCCATTTTTTTTTCCCCCTAATCAAAAGGTTTAAATTTTCATATGGTGAAATGTACCAGTGTTTTCCTTATTGGCTTCTGAATTGTGTGTTTTTCATGAGAAAAAGCATGGGAAATTTTAGATAGATAAAAGAGATAGATAAATATATAGATAAACTTAAGCCTTGAATGGAAAAAAGTCTCAAATGTTTGTGGGAAAATGTGGCTAAACAGGAATTCAGATTTTAGTCAAAAGTGGTATGACCAACTATAAACTATAAAAAAACAAAAATTTGGACATTATCTGTCAATATTTATTTAACATTTTAAAACATTTTTTGGAAGGATTTTAAATGATATGCTCTTTTCCTTATATGTATGCTTTGTTATTTGGGGTTTTAATTTCTCAAATGATCCCTCTTTTCAGATTTCAAATTATAACCCATTTCCTGCACCACTGCTGACGTCCAGTGATCCATGTCAGAAGTACTTCCAGGTCAGATACACTTTCACATGTTTCAATGCAGAGAAGCAATTGAATATTAAAATGTTAGCATATATATGATAAGATGATTGTTTTGATGTTAAACTTATGATTTGCTAAGATAGCATGTTCTGGGTTTTCACTGTTTTTCACTAATGTAATAGAAAAATGAATCTTTAAAATAAGAAGAATTAATTGGACTTAATTGTATTCATGTAATAATCGCTCGGCTCTACTAATATCATGATGTAAAATATTTTAGTTGACTCTAACGGGAAATACAAAACTATCAAATTTTGCCATCTGGCATCGCCCGTTATAGCCTGTAAACTATTAAATACGAACAAAGGAGGTGGCGGTGGTGAGTCTCTGTAAACAGCTTCCCAGCCATTGTGGGCTTTGCCTAGAATAGACCTCCCCAAGTCAGTATTCTCCTTGGATTTAATGCTGATTAATTTCAGGCCCTAGGAAAAATCACCTTAATTTTATTGTATGGTCCTTCCTTTGTGACATGATGGATGCTGGTCTACACACAAGATGGTGTGGGATTTAATTCTTAGCCTCACAGTAATATAATAAGGAAAAGGTAATGGAAGTAACATTTGGAATTAAACACAGTATAGGACTGCAAGTGCTCGATATATCCGGGTGGATTTGTATTTGTTAGGACACATACCACTCAGAAAATTCTGTTTTTAAAGAAATAGATATTAACCATACACAAATAGATATTAATGTCCCTAAATTTTAAACTAAAATCATTAAGCGTGCCCAAGCTCTCTTTGCTTAGTATAACACTGCATGTTACATTTCAACAGAAAACTAAAACAAAACAATAAAATAAACACTAAGCTCAGCAGAAGTATATGAGTGTAGGAATATCCTATTTATAAAAGTCAGCCAAACCAGTGTGACAAACCTAAGTTCACAGAGGAAAATTAGAAACTTAGAGGTGATTCTTAGAGGATATCTAATTCATGTTGAGGAAACAGGGGCAGGGAGTAGATTTTCCTTGTAAATACTTGTTTGAATACATATGTTAATTTTGGAAAATCAAGGCAAATATGTATGTCCTTTTAAAAATACATTTTAAGTGTTGAGAATAAATCCCTTTAGGAATTCTTTAATGTTAAGAATTTTTTTTATTACATTGCAAGATATACTCAGTATGGAAACATTTTAGAAACAAAGTTGGCAAATATGTAAAATGTGTTTTCCTCTAAACGGAGGTGAATTAATCAAATAACTTGTAGAAATTTCTTCTGGTCATTTTATTTTGTTATGCTGATATAGTCATTCTTTCTGTTGCTATTCAAATTGCAATATTCCTTGGTAATTATATAAGAAATAATGAAACTGTTATCTAGCATGATTTTTAAATAAGAACTACTACTACTATGCATTGGTATAGGATGTAACACATTTTGCCAAGAAAGTATTATTTTTATTTCAATAGAATGTTACAGTCCATCCATTTTTTTAGTTGAAAATTCAAATGGCAGCTAGTAAGGGACAGTCTGGACCAATACATGGGGTCGGTATGCCCAAATCCCATTTTCTGACTCTTAGGTCCTGTGACTACAGAGAAGATCTTAAAAAACAAACATACTAGAATCTGTACCATTATCTCCTTGAAAAATTCTTGTTGAACTTGCAAGATCAACCTAGGAGTCTCTTCTGAATAGGTTGTAGCTCTGACATAGCCAAGCAATTACCCTATTTTAAGGCTCCTTTCATCATTTAATTTTTTTTTTCCCCTTTTGGAATTGACTCAAGGCCAGCTTATTTCACCTAAGCCAGTATTCCCAGGCTTGATCGTTACTAGAATCATCAGAGCTGGCCAGGAAATCCAGAGCTATGTTAAAAAAATACATTCATCTTCAGAAGACATTGAGGCTCTTCTAAATGATGAGAACAGCTTAGAAATGGAGCAGAGAAAATATCCTTGGGATAAGCATATCATATCCTCAGGTGGCTACTTCTAATGTCTTAATTTTTACTTGAATACACTTTCTGATTTGTGTTTCCCAAATAATCAGTCATCACATCTACCAGGTATGATGTCGGACTGCCACGTTTCCCGCCCCGCCCCGCCCCCGCGATCTGGAGTGCCTTTCTCTTCCTTGTCAACTGGCGGGCACTTACCTACCTTTCAGGACCCAGCTCAGTTTTGTGGCGTTTTCTTTTTTTTGTATTGTTGTTGTTTTCTTTTTTGTGGGGGAGCCCTCCCTTAACCTCTCTCTTCATCCGTAATACCTTCTTATAAGCCCCTACTTTAGCTATTGGGAGTTTGTTTAGTAAGTTAACCGTCTTACTGCCCTGTCTGACCAAATTTCTTAAAAGAAGCAATTGGTACCTCTTTCTTGACACTCCTCAGATGTTGAACAGGGTGAGCCCTCAAGCAATTAAGTTAACTGGAGGGTGGGAAACTTTTAGGTGGGTTAGAGCTAACTCTTGAAATCACTACTGTATCCTGAAGAGCCCAGGGAAGTTGCTTTCCTGGGTTAGAAATTTCAAGGTGCTAGTCCTGTGATTCTCTCCCACCCACCCTGCCTCCTAATAACCTTTGCCTCCTTTGTTCATAAAGAAGTTCTTATCATTTTTGTCACATTGAGAGTTTACTTTCATGAGTAATTTCAGGAAACCAGCTTTATTTTGCCTCTCCTTCCTAAAAGAAAAAAAAAATTGAGTTTATTTCATTTCCTTAATACTTTGAGGTCTAGTTCACAAGGCAACATTCCTTAGGGCAGACGTTTTACCTTAACTCTTCAGTGGAAATAAAACTGTATTGAAGAAAACTAAAAATGAAGAAAATGTGAAGTCTCATTTAATAGTGGGGCAAACACTGGGCTTCTCTGGGCCCATTTGTCAACCCCGGACCCATTGTCAGTTTCCAATTTTATAAGCATGTCACAGGAGCAGAAAAAGAACAGCAGGTTACTGAAGAGAAGAGTTTCCTGTCATTACTGACAATTTTTTTTCCTTGACAGAGGACTAGAGGTCTCAGAAAAGAGAAGGGAGCAGGCTTAACTACAGGCTCCAGCACGGGGCTGTGTTAGGATGTCATCTGAGTTATGGGGTTACAGCTCAGTGCTGAGATCTCTGTGATTCTGGGTTGGAGGGAAGCTTTGTTGGCCATGAAATTAAAATGACCCTGGCTTACCCAATTTTGTTTAGGCTTCGTCAAAACAAAACAAAACAAAACAAAACAAAACAACAACCCCCCGAACAATTCTGTATATTAACTAAGGTTCCTTTAGTTGCTAAAAGGAGAAAACATCTTTAAATGATTTAAGCAAAAAAATAAAAAATTATTGGTTTTCAGGGATTCTAAGCACATCATTGCAGCTTGCACACTTTTCCTCTGTCTCATGACACTCTTTGCTCATTTGTTAGGTTCTTGTTTATGCAGGACAGAGACTGTCTTTTCATGGTGGCTCCTTGAAGCTTGTATCTCAGTTCCCGAAGAAGAGAAAAGAGAGCCCTTCTCTTCTGGCCATTCTGGCAAAAGTCTTAGGAGTGCCTGTGTGGGTCACATGCTTTTCCTTGAACCAGTCATAGCCTGGGGGATTTGCTGCTCTGATTGGCTGGACCAGGGCCATGTGCTTCATGAAATGAAGGGTAGAGGCATCTCCGCCTGAAGCACAGGGACTGAATCCCTAGAATGTCACCTTCGTGAGAAAAAGTATTTTCATTTGGTCAGTTTTGTTCACTGCTGTATGCTCGGCGGTGAGAACTGTCTGCCGCATGGCGGCGCACACAAAAACGGTCTGTTGACTGAGCGTGGAGGAAGGCTGATTTCTCAAGGAAGATTGTGGGGCTTTTACCTAAAAAGGAGGAAATAACACGCTAGGCTATAACAGATGTTTCTTCATCATGCAGGAGAGTGATGGCAGCAGTCATACTCGTTCTCGGCACACTCTTCACTCTGGACTTGTCCCCACGTCTGGAATAGGAATCAATCCTCTTGAATTAATGTTGGGTCTTCATAGGTAACACTCAGAACAGCATGATGAATGGAGGTGATGGCGAAATCACGGGCCCTCTGCAGCTTCCGGAAGTCCAGGAGCAGAGCCACTTCTCTGCTGAAGGTGGGCCCTTAGGGTTACACCGAGCACCTTCATTGCACCCTGCTCTGAGGCTCTGTCTTTCCTTTTCCCCACCCATTCCACAGATTGCCTCTTCATTTTGTTGATGGCTTCCTTTGCTGAGCAAAACCTTTTTAGGCTGATGTAGTCCCACTTATTTATTTTGTTGTCTTTGCTTTTGGTGTCAAATCCAAAAAAATCATCGCCAAGATGTGTTAAGAAGCTTACCCCTTATGTTTTCCTCGAGGAGTTTGATGAATTCAGATTTTAATTTCAAGTCTTAATCCATTTGGAGTTAATGTTTGTGTATAGTGTAGGAAAGTAGTCCAGTTTCATTTTTTTTGCATGTGGCCGTCCATTTTCCCAAACACGATTTATTGACGAGACTGTCCTTTCTGCACTGCTTATTCTTGGCTCTTTTGTGATAAATTAATTGACCATACAGGCATGGGTTTATTTCTGGGCCCTGTATTCTGTTCCATTGATCTCTGTGTCTATTTTTATGCCATTAAAGTTCAAAAAAGTTTTTTAAATGTCACTAACTCTGTGTTTTTCCCTTGTGACTATTTCTAAACTTTGTCCATCTCCCCAGATTTCCCAAGGTGGCTTACTCGCAGGGGAAGACTGTATCCTCATGAAAAAATCGAGGTTATCAGTTTTACTTTTCCTTGGTTTCATGCAGTGACATGCATGCCTGTCCCATCCTTACTCTCCCACCTTCTTTCTCATGTGAGGAAATGCCTCTTGTTATGGGCAAGGCCAGCTCTTCCACATCTACTGGAGCCCCCCCCCCCGCCCCCCCGCCCCCTAGGTTCTTCTTTCTTGGTCTGTCACTCTTTTGTGTCTGAGCCACCCCCCCGCCCCCCGCCCTGACAAGGAAACTGAATGTCTGGTGTCCCAGATCACCCAGCTGGTAAAAATCACAGACAGGTCTTGCGCCTGTCTCTCTGACCCTGAGTTCTGGGCTCTTACGCTCAGGGGCACTGCCTCTCACTCTCAGGGGCCTTTCTTTTTCAGTCTTGGTCTTTCTAGGATTTTGTTAACCTCTATCTACTTCATGATCCTTTTGAGCTGAAATGACTGCCTACTAATACATTAATTCCTGGAGACAACTATAACTCCTTAAGATTACCTTGGCTGCCTTAGTTCTAGACCTGAACCTTTATTTTGCTTTCAGATTGCACCATCCTTTAATACCTAAGACACAATCTAATTGTGTTCAGGCTTTGATCTACAAAAACAGCATGCACAGAGCTGTCTTGTATAGGATGGTCCTGTTGTTCTAACCTTACCCTCCCGAACCTCCCCCCGGGATTTCTAGCAAGCACAGGGGTTACAAAGGAAGGGCATAGGAAGGACGGCAAGATCAACAAGGCTGATGAGAACATGGCTAAAAGTTTTTAATCTCTCACCTCCAGGATATGAAAGCTACTTAACTATTAAACCCCCTAGAAATGTGGATAGTGTTCTTTCTGAAAATGTTTATGCTTATAAACAAAGTAAATAAAAAATTTCTCCCTAAAAACATTGCTAGAATGTAGGACCTCCCATCATAAAGTAGCCTCAGAGAGATTTTTTGCCATGCCTTTTAAAAAGCCACTAGATTTCCAGCTTTCTCATAATAACATCACTCTAAATGCCCAAGAGTCTAAGTGTAATTTTCTCTTGTGTGCCTGTTATGAATATGTGTCTTAGGGAAAACTTCATGTGGGTTCAAGATGGGCTCTTCTTGTAACAAATGCTACACTTGAGTAAGGGTGAATTATAAATGGAAGCATGTGTTTTCCATAAAATGGTAGTAGTAGCCAAAACAGTATTAAAATTTTTTAATTTAGTCTCAGTATTGTTTGAAAGGGAGAAATACACTAGATCCTCTGTTCCTATAAAATGAAGCCCAAGTGCTGCGGTAGGCTGCTGGGTGAGCAGGAATTTTTTTTTCTTTTATTTATTTAACTTTAGAGAGAGGGGAAGGGAGAGAGAAAGAGAGGGAGAGAAACATCAGTTGGTTGCCTCTCGCATGCCCCTGCCTGGGACCTGGCCTGCAACCCAGGCAGGCGCCCTGACCAGGAATTTAACTGGTGACCCTTTGGTTTTTAGGATGATGCTTAACCCACTGAGTCACACCACTCAGACAAGCAGGAATTCTTATAACTAGTAATCCTGAAGTGTGGGGCCCAAGCTCTAACCACTTTGGATTACAGCTCTTAACTATCTCAGCAGGCCGCATGGCCATTCTCTTATAAAAATGGACACTTCCTGGACTAGCCAGATGATGCCTAGTTTCCTAGATGCATACAGACTCTAGGATGAGTGGAGGATTCTTTTCTAAAATAGCCCTTCCTGCATATTTGATGATAGAAAGAGATACCTCTAAGTGCCTGAATGGAACATTCTTGCCTTCCTCCCCTTGGAGGTCCCTGTTTTGCCTGGGGGAGGATGAGGGAGTTGTCACCGTGCAATTTTAGGAATGTTAGGGAGCAGGTCTTTGGCTCACCCACTGCTGGTGTAGAACTCACTGAGGTCTCTGTGGAGGGCAAAGGATCAGATAAGAAAAAAGTCATTCCTCACAGGCTGAGAAATGTGAACCTCAGGAATTCTTGCTGATGAATTTTATTCCCTTTTAGTCTGAGAAACCGTTCTTTCTTCTAGCAAGAGACACATGGAATAAATCACTGATGGTGTGAACAATATTTGAGATAAATGCAACTGTCAGATAGTTTCCTAGGAGTTCTGCAAGGGCACATGGTGGCTGCAAACAGCTGAGATTGTATTTTAATTCAGTGGAACATATTCAAAACTCCTTTGGGGCTCTGACATGTCTCTAGTCACGGGCTCAATGCTACATTATTAGTATTGGGTTTGTGTGCGTGTTTGTGTGCGCGTTCTTGAGCAATTAAGGCATTTCGCCAAAATTTCTGTTTAGCACAAACACCAAGCCCAAGTCAAAAATGTTTACAAAGACACTAGCAAAACACTCTAATGGAGGTTTGATTTTTCTAGAATTCAGAACACAATTTCTAAACACGATTGAGAAAAATTACCTTGGACGTATGGTGTATCATTGAACAGTGACCTTTCAGGTTAATTAAGAAAGCTGGAGCCCAGAAGGATTTTTGAGCAACGTTTTTGCTGCCTGAGGGAAGAACAGAATAGAAGTGTGGCAAATGTTTAGAAAGGGAATGATTTTCAAGATTGTGAAAAACGAAGCCTCTGGAAGAAAATGCTTTTTTTAGGAATTTAAAAGAGAGGTACTTTTTAATATTAAGTTAAACTTGGATCCTCAGACATTTTAGCTTTTCTATAAATTGGCTTTTGGGTATCCACATTAAGCCTTTTATGTACTTCTACTTAATATAGAAGCGATTGGTGAAAATGAAGAGGAAAATGTGTCAATTTTACAAGAACGAATGTAATAGAAGCATTAATTCTCTCCAATTTCTGTTTAAAAATGTTTACGCACCCTGTATGCTCAGGGGTTGACTCGTGCCAGGCGTCTAATGACCAGTTTCCTCTTTTTGCCAGCTGACTCAGGTGTAGACACGTTGGCAGTGTTTATGGCCAGCAGCGGAACCACGGATGTCACGAATCGGAACAGCCCGGCCACACCCCCGAACACCCTTAACCTCCGCTCCTCCCACAATGAACTGTTGAACGCTGAAATCAAACACACAGAAGCCAAGAACAGCACACCCCCCAAATGCAGGAAAAAATATGCACTAACTAACATCCAGGCAGCCATGGGCCTCTCAGATCCAGCAGCCCAGCCCTTGCTGGGAAGTGGCTCGGCCAACATCAAGCTGGTGAAGAACGGGGAGAACCAGCTCCGGAAGGCTGCAGAGCAGGGGCAGCAGGACCCCAACAAAAACGTCAGCCCCACTGCAGTCATCAACATAACTTCTGAGAAGTTAGAAGGTAAAGAGCCCCACCCACAGGATTCCTCGGGCTGTGAAATTTTACCCTGCCAACCCCGGCGAACCAAGAGCTTCCTCAATTACTATGCAGACCTGGAAACCTCAACCAGAGAACTGGAGCAGGACTTGGGCGGCCAGCACGGGGCTGGGGAAGAGAAGGCCGCGCCGGGCCAGGGCCAGGCCTCCACCGTCATCGGGAGCGGAGATGTGCTGCTGCAGAAACCCAACAAACCCCAGTTCAGCCCTGAAGACGGCCAGGTAGCCACAGTGTCATCCAGCCCGGAGACCAAGAAGGACCATCCTAAAACAGGGGCCAAAACGGACTGTGCACTACACCGGATCCAGAACCTGGCGCCCAGCGACGAGGAGTCCAGCTGGACCACACTGTCCCACGACAGCGCCTCGCCCAGCTCCCCGGACGAAACAGGTACTACCCTGGGAAAGGTGTCTTAAGGCGGCGCTTTCATTTCGTGTTTTCCGTTACTGATGGAATTAATCTCTAGGCTCATCCAAAAAATCCATTTGTAGCAGAGAAGAGCATGATCCTTTTGGGGTAAAATTGGACACTGTGTGTGGAAAATATTGTTAGATCGTTTAACAGTTTCATTTTTGGTTCCTACATAAGTTGTTTTTTCTGGGAAGCATTTTTGTAAAAGAAATAGGTCCTTGGTGGTAAGCACAGTAAAACATTATCTATTTAGAAACTGTATTTGCAGTGATTAGGTGAACTATTTGTGTATACTATCAGGAAATATTGGATTTTGTTGAGCAAAATAATGAAAGAAATACAGTTGCTGGGGACAGGATATAACCTATAATCTCATGCAGAGAACCAGTTATTTTAAAGTTCCTCACAGAACTTATTTATGCTTAAATTAATGAAAGGTTAAAAGTCTGTTTATTAAAGACATTTCCCTTCTGACCTTTACTGGGAACATTGTCTTAGCTGTGTTCAAGTGATATTTGAAAATGAGAAAGGAGTGTTTCTTCTAAAATACATTCAGAAGTTTAGGGTTTTATAGTCTGACTGACTTTTTTCTATATCTGTAACATCTTTGGATTTTTCAGAGGAGTCAAAATTGTGACAGCAATGAACAGTCCTAAAAGTTAGCTACTTTTAACCTCAGTTTCTCATAGCCCCCCATTATTACTGATCATAAACTTAAAAGATGTGGAGAACCTTGTATCAGAATTTGGCGTAAATGAGCACTCACGAAGGCTTGTTTCTGTACCGTAACCTCGCAGCGGCCCTAGTGGCTCCCCGGGCTCTGTGGGTGTGATACAAATAAAGCCACCAGGGAAGGAAATAATGTTTTCCCAACTTACAGAGCAGAGAAACTAGAAGGACTGCAGATAAGAAAAAGAGATGGGCAATGTTATTTAAGAAAAAAAAAAAAAAGAAAGAAATGTTTTTGAAATGCCCTTTAAAATCGCAGCACTTTAAGTGATGGATTTCATCAGCCTGCTGCAGCTGGGTATGGCAGAGGGCGGTCGAGCTGAGTCTATTTCATCTTGTAAATGTCTAGACCTGCACATTACTGGAATCATAATTATGTTTAGTAATGTTACTGAGTTCACAACTCTATTACTTTGTACCCGTTGAAAACATTCTTATCCAGTAGCTGATGGACAGTTATCTGTTAGTGCCTGAATCTACATAAATAACTTGAGCATCTCACATCCAAACTCTACCTCCTGTTCTCACGTACCCCCCGGCCCCCACCCTGTCCTGCTCTTCCGGACATGGCATTTTCTGCTGTAATTAAATTTTAAGTTTTACCGAAAGTTACTTAGTGAACTAGCCTCTTTTCCCAGTGATGACCACCACCTTTTTTTCATAAAGTATTTTCTTTCAGAAAACATTTTATACATGTATCCACATTTATAATAAATTTTAAAGTTACCCAAATTTTATCATGATGGTGTCTTTAAAGAGTCCCTACTTTTTAGAGATATACTAATATGCTACTTTATATAATAGTATAATATATAACAATATAATATAACATAAACTAATATAAATAATGTTGAGTATAGGCTTTTCTCCAAAACAATTGTGGTGGCGATCTAAAAAAAGAAACAAAATTGCCCGTAAGCTAATAACTGTTAAAGGTGGGTGCATGACGGTTCATTATTCTGTTCTCTCGAATTTTATCTCTTTAAAATTCTTCACAATAAACCATTTCCTCCCTGCTAAAATTTAGAGTATTTCCATCCACAGCCCGCGGCGAATGGCGCGCTGGGTCGGTGAGGGCCTGCGGGGCTGGAGGTCACGGGGAGCAGCGCGCAGTCCGCCGGCCCCCTGCGGCTCTCCCGGGCGCCGTCCCGGTCCCCCTGCCCGCTGCTCCTTTGCTCAGTGGCCCTCGCCTTCCTTTCTGTGGGCGTCTCTGCAGAACTCATTACAGTGCTTGACACGTGATGGGAACCGGATTAGAATTTTCTGACATGTTGAGAGGATATGTTCATTTTTCTCTCTTAGTATTGAAGACCTTTGAATTTTAAAGTAAGGGTGACAGTCTGGTGATGGCCCTTAATGGGCTGGTAAGAATAGACATTTTGAATCAAACATGCTGCAAAGAATGTGTTGTTGCCGTGACTTGAAAGCCGCAAGATTGAGATTTTAAAGAAACATACCAGAAGTCAAACCTGCGCTGTCCTTCAGAAGGGCCCCTTTAGGGTGTCTGTACCTATTTCAGCATGCTGCAGCGTCTCAAAATATTAACATGACTAATGTTTGGGAATTCTTTTGGAATTTCCTGAGAGCCAGTTGTGCCCTCCTACTGAAGAGAGACTTATACTTTATGATCACACTTAAGGTAGTGACCACTATATAAATTAATGAGTAAAATAAAATAAACGATCATTCAGATTGTTACTACTTTTGGCTTCATCTTTCCAGTGAGGCATACCATTAGTATTCACAATGATCACAATCGGTTTAAATTAAACCTTGTATGTTTCACTTCTAATAGCAAAATTATATGATATATATAGGGTCCGGCAGAAGTAAGGCCCGCTTGAGTGGGATTCATAGGGAAGTAATATGGGTGTAATAATTTATAGTTTTAATTTGTACATTTCACCGAAAATGTCCTAAGGTATGCTTCAGTGTGGTATTGTTATGTTACAGAATTATATGCTTATGGTTTTGTAATAAAAAGGGATGTTATTTGTGCCAGGCCCTGTATTTTATATAGTACATCTGTGTTTATATATAATAAACACAAACACTAACTGTTGGAAGAAAAGAAAAAAATAACAGCAAACATTATGTAAGATACCAGTATGCAGCATGATTAGTTCATATTTTAAAAGTATATATTGGCTTATTCATTGTGTTTTAAGTAAACGCTCTTTACTGTGGTATGTGTTTTATGACTAAATCATGATGACACAATTACCTTTGGGTTCTAGACCTTGCTTTGGGGAGTCTAGAAAAATAGGCTCATTTCTCCTCTAGGGCATCCTTTCCAAGCTAGAATGCTATTTGTAAAATAAACCGTACCAGCTAAGTCAAAGATTCACTACTTTCTATTTGCCGTTCTTTTAGAATAGCCCCACCCTGCCTCTTAGTACCTTTTTTTGCACAATCCTCTGTGTACAATATGTTGCTCCTCTTTTCCTCCTAGTCTGTCCTTTGAGAAAACAAGAGCTTATTCTAAAAAATGAAAACATCTATGAAATTACTGCATTTCTTTGGAATTTCAAAAAGTTCAGAAGAATGCCTTCTCCTGGATTCTAAAGAAATGGTTGGTACTCGAAAGTGAGGACTTGCAGTCTGTGAGAGCTGGGCCAGAGATGCCGGTCCCCACGGGGCCCCAGCTGCACAAAGGCTCAGATAAAAGCACACTGATCAGATTGTGTGTAGTCTCTCTGTGAATCACCTGGTGTTTTATGTTTGCTTCAGGGAAACTTTTGAAAGACATTTTGGTGCTACCTAGGAACAGGTTTCAATACCTTGCTTGTTTAATTGGGGACTTAACAAAATTGAAAATACAGAGTTTGAAACTGGGTAGATCTTGTGGAATAGCCATTTTAAAATGAGGTTCATTACAAAACATAATGTGCAAAGGCAGGATATACACAAGAAACCAAATATAGATGGTATGGCAGTGAGTCTAATGCTGAATTGACTTACTGTTGTTGACAGCATAGATTCTAGAGTCAGCTTCCTGAGTTCAAATCCCAGCTCTGTTTCATACAGGTAGCTCACAGAACTTCTCATCTGTAAAGTGGGAGTGATAGGAGGGTTTTGGCATGGACCTATTGTGAGAATTAAGTGCGAGCATCTTCAAAGAGTTTTTAGGACTGCGTCTTGGCATATAGCAAGAGATTTATAAATATGAGTGCTTATTATTATTAGTGTTCATCATCAGTACAAAAATGGGATATAAAAATTTATTTCTCTCTTCATTATGAACTACCTATATTTTGAACACTGATTTTAGTTAGGATTTTTTGCACCCTAAAAGCAGGGATTGGCTTGCTTCATTATTGTATTGGCAGTGCCTGAATTATAGTGGGTGAACTTAGTGAATAAGTAATGATTAATTGAATAAAAATAGAGGCCATCTACATATTCCCAATGGCCTTGATGTATTGAGTAAATATTTTGATGTTGTATCTTACTCAATGTCTGATTTCGATTTTGGGTACATATATTGTAATATGTTGATGACGCTGCCTCATAATAAATAGGTGGGACTGAATAACGAATTATTGGGGAAGGCATAATGAAATTCCGTGGGCCTACTATGTGCCAGATCTTGTTCATGGTACTTTCTCATACTCTAATTGCCATGCTGGGACTTAAACCAAGGTCTTCAGATCTTCGCATGTTGTGCTTTTCTACTGTACCACTGTCTTGAGATGTAGGCATGTGGTCCCCAGAGGCTGAATACGTCAGGCTTCATCTTCTTCAACAGGATGTGTGTGGTAGTTACCTTGAGAATTTGGAAAATGGAAATTATATTTTAGAGGATCTTTCTGTTCCTATAAATCCTTGAGATTTAACTCAAATGTCTTCTTGGTGAAATCTTTCTAGACTCTGAACTGTTGAAAGGTCTTTCTCTGTACCCCAATGAAATGTTTCCAAGTCTCTGTTATCATATTTCTCTCAGCAGTTTGTAGTGTTACTCAAACATTTCTATTTAGACATAGAGCTCCATGAAAGCAGGAGCCAAGTCTTTACCATGTGTGGATGTGAACCTCTTCCTACAATAACACCTAGTAAGAGTCTCATAAATGTTATCTATTTGCTGGTTGGATGGATGAATCTGGACAAACACTCATGTTCTTTGAGGTCTGCTGCATCAGTACACCTATAGAAATAGAAAATGTAAGCACATCTTATATAAAATAATTATTTAGAGCCCCTGGATAGGGCAGTTCTTATTTATATTCTAGGCTCTTGGGAGGGATGAAGAA